CTGCTTCTATTTCCTCCTTCAGTTTGCCTTTTTCCTTTGTTAATGAATGGCATAATTTGCTTTTAAGTCACTTTTCTAGATCTAATTCTACTTCTCCTCTAAATGCATTAGAATTTTGTTTTATACAATGGCCCTTGAAAGAGATTTTAAAATTGAATTTGCTTTGTTCTTAATAAGGCTTTAGATAGCAACTTTCTTTGCTTTTTGCAAATACTGGTGCTACTGGAATGATATTTTTTCATCTCTCTAATAAGTACATATCCCAAGAAGTCTAGTGGCAAGGCATTTTATTCCAGAATATTTTCCTAACTCTCTGTCAACTCCCAGCAGAGACAAAAGCAATAGTTTTCTTTCATTTGTACTTACAATGTGAAAAAATGAATTTATATCAATTTAAGCACCCTATCAAAACTATGTTCAAGGAGACTTTTTTCTTTCTCTAATTGTTGAAGATTATAAATAGGTTAAATGTACTTGGCTTTGTTTCATGTCTGATAATCTGCTGTGGTTTCGCAGACTTGTCTAGAGAAACAGAAGGCTATCAGACACAGCCCCTTTTGGTCTTTTCTGTCATCAGTAGTTACATCAAACCACAACTTGCAAAGAAATGAATTAGTGACCTTTTATTTAAGGGATATCTCATATTTCTATGCGGAAAAAGTCTTTTAAGGGATTCCTGCTACTCAGTTGCTAAATTTGCCAGAACAAGTCAGGGCAAGATTTAGTGAGTATTCATATGTGCTGTGGATTTAGGGATTTTTATTTTTTTTTATTTTTATTTTTTTGGAAAACATTGCTTTATTATCTCTTCGTGGTAACACACTTTTAAAAACGTTTTTTGAAGATTTCTAAAATGTCTTCCCAAAAACCCACAACCCTATGAGGGCAAACCTCACTGCCTGTCAGGGACTACTACTAACTATGGACTGGCACTGTCTTAAGTTGATACCTGTTTCTGCTTATATTATTTGGAACTTTTCCAAACCCAACCGCCCTCCTTGATCTTTAATTCAGGGGTTGCAAAACTTCTTTGTAAAGATCCAGATAGTAAATATTTTAGGTTTTGTAGATTACATATGGTCTCTGTTGCATCATATTCTTCTTATTCTTCTCTTTTACAACTCTTTAAAATATATCTATATATCTATATCTCTCTCTCTATATATATAAATATATATATAATATATATATATAAAAAAATATATATATATATTATATATATATATAATTCTTAGCTCACAAGCTATGCAAAAACAGGACATGGGCCTAATGTATCAGTCTGCAGATCACAGTCATTGGATGCAGACATACAACCCCGAGGTGAAGGGGAAACTGGGGCACTTGCTTCATAGAAGCCAGCAACAATTCCCTGGCTAAAGATTAGCAAGTAAAAACTATGAACTCTACCTATTTGGTCTCTTCCTCATTTACTTTTATTTTCCTTGATGGCTAGGTTCTTATCTTTTCCCAAAGACAACAAAAGAAAACTTAAGAAGAGAAGGAAGAAGGAGGCAGAGGGAGGTAGGAGAGAGAGGAAGAATGGGATAGGTAAAAAGAAAGAGCAAGAAAGAAAACAAAGAGGGAAGTAAAAAGAAAAGAGGATAAAAGGGCAGAAAAAGAAAGGGATAAAGACAGAGGTAGAAAGAGGGGAATGGGGAGAAAAAGAAAGAAAAACAGAAAGCAAGCCAGAATATGGAAGCTAGGGCACAGTCTCTCCTTCTTTTCCTTAGAGCCAGTCAGCCCTTAAAGGCACCTCCCCAGCTGCTTTCAAACACTGAGGTTGCTGCCCAGCCACTGATCATCATCCCAAGAAGTAAAATGTGGGCTTCACATCTGAAAACTTCCACTTGGTTTTTCACCAAGTGAAATGGAACACGAGATTCAGGGCCCAAGCAAATGGCTTATGTTTTCTTTGGGACACTAGGGCTGTGTCTGCCCAGGGAAAATTTTGATGTACTGACTGACTGACTCTAGTGCATATGATTAATGTATATATAGGGCAAACCAGGATAATTCAGACCTTTTTTCTTCTACAGGAGGTTTTCAGCCGGAATTATCTGGATGGTTGCCTCAACTCTCCACTAGGCTTTGCCAGAATAAGCACAGCCAGTGGAGTATGCAGGAGACAGGGACCACTCCCTCTCTCCAAGGTTCCCTTTAACTCCCACACCCTGTGCAGCTGAGTATAGTGGGACCTGTACTGACAGGCATTCCTTCTGGGGGCAAATGTAAATTCTGTCTGATAAGTCTCTAAGAAGCCCCAAGAACCCTAAATATTGCATACTGCTTAACTGTCAGATGGCAAAATATAATAGATGGATGAAAGGGGAGAACCATACTAATGGAGGGAAAATGTCACCCTGTTCCTTTCCTCATCCCAAAAAGAAGCTAGCAAAGCCAAAGCCCATGACACCCCAATCAAATGAATTAGTACATGTGCGTACAGTTTCTCTTATAAGTTTAGATACCTGGGTTGTAATTTCTTTTCTTTAAGTTGATAGACTCATGTATAGATATAGCTTTAGTTTCTAAAAGCATAGTTTAAAAGTGCATTTAAGGCTGAGAACAGAGGATTGCTTAAGGCCAGGAGTTTGAGACCAGCCTGAGCAACACAGTGAGACCCCACCTCTATAAAAAACAATAGCAATAAATTAACAAAGCGTAGGGGCTGGCACCTGTAGTCCTAACTACTCAGGAGTCTGAGGCAGGATGATTGCTTGAGATCAAGAGGTCAAGGTTGCAGAGAGCTGTGTTTGTGCCACTGCATTCCAGCCTAGGCAACACAGCAAGACTCTATCTCAAAATAAATAAATAAATAAATAAATAAATAAAAGTATATTTAGACTACAAACTAACACATACAAATTCTGTTGTTCCTAAAGGTACACTTTATGTGACAGAGTGCTACTGACAAGGTTTGTACAAGGTTTCATTTTTTAAAATGAAATTACAAGCTGTAATTAATTAGGGAACAATACTACTCAAAGTAACCCCTTGGTAAATTATTTTGTGAAGAATGATTCTATAAAATTAAGTATGAATTCATAATTCACCTGGTAAAACTGTATCTTCATTGACTCCTGCATTGATATCATGATTCTGGGTTTGGGTTTTGTTCTGTTTTGTTTTGGAGAAAAGATAAAAAGAATAATGAGAAAAATGCATGATAGTTTATTTTACTGTATCTTACAGATCCAACTTCTAATGAGGAAGCTTCCCACATAACTTCTTTCTTTTTGGGAGCAGAAATAAGGGAAGAAAATGAAGAGTCAGAGCTGTTGATACACTGGGAAAATATTTTTCCACTCTATTGAAACTTTCTACCTTTCCTTCCCTTCTGTTTCACCAGTTCTCTAAGTGATAATTACAGAGTGATAACTCCCCAGTTACTATTTGTGTGGTGTTTTTTTTGTTTGTTTGTTTCATTTTGTTTTTGCAGATTTCACTGCTTATTTTTTCCCCTGAATGCATAATCTCTAAAATAAAGCACTCAAAATTCTTAAAAGTTCCCTCTCTACTTAGACACTGCCTTATCCCGACAGATATAGTCATTGTAACTACTGCATGAGAAAGATCCTGAAATGTATTAAGTCAAAACCCAAAGAACAGTAACAACAAATTGTTAAATAGGCAAATCTATGTGTATCTCTTAAAAGTTTCTTATTTATCTGTAGGGTATATAGAAAGTTTGCTCATTTTCACTTGCAAAAGTTTTCTTGCTGCCAAGTAGTGAAAATAAAACTTTAGAAAGAGAGATCATCTGTAAAATACACATCTGTAAAATAAGTTTCTCTTTTCAAATTGCTTGTACTGAGCTGTTTGGTGGCCCCACGATATGTGCTGAGTGTGACTCCTTGAAAGCAGTCTGTAACCTTGGGCAGATTTGTGGTGACAAATGTTGCTATGCTTCTTTCTGTAAGCACTGCTTCTGCTAGAGGGCACTGTACATTAGACAAGGCCTTGTGTTCTGCTTCGGAAAGACAGCTCTCTGGTGTAGCACCTGTGTCTAAGTCTCCATTTGTTAAAACATGTGTGTGTTTCCCTTTTTGGCAGATAAGACTTTGGGAAGCATGATTCCAAAGAGATTATTTCATGTGATAAATAAATCCAGAGTTAGTTGAGTGTTTTTCTACCATGTAAGAGCCATAGATAACATATTCACCTCACTTTCAGAATTGCTCCACAAAGTAGGGCAAATACTTACTTTTCAGTTGGTAGACTCCTTCACTGTTCATTTCACACCACCCCCCACCTCCGACTCTACTCTTCACTCTTCCTTGGAACAAAAGCAGCTAGTTCCAATTAAACTCATGGACACAAACCACTTCCCTGTCTCTGGGTTTGAAGGGCATAATGGCGAACCTAAGTTTGCAAATGACAGAAATAATTGGAGAAACAAGCTATGATTCTAGAAGAGATTTTCCACCATCTCTATATCACAGTTATCTCTCAAGTAGTTAGTATACATAGCCCCCTCCTTGTTTAGTAGTTGAGAACTAGGGGCCATACATACAGTTAGTATTTGTCAATTACAATAAATAATAGTAATAAAAATAAAGAAAATTAGAGAAGAAAAGCAAACAAACCCCATAAATACGGTAACTCTGCATTTATTAAAAGGCTCCATTTCTCTTTTCATCGGCTCCTTGATTAGTTGTTCACTAACTTGGAAGCCTGACTTGAATTAAATTAATACATTAATAGAATGTATTAATTAAATGAATACATTAATAGAAATCACTGAAATACGCATAAGCTCTGAAGAAGTCAGAGTTTATGTTAGCCAAAAAAACACTGTAAGTAATGGTAAGGGAAAATAAAATAACGATTATAAGCAGTTTGTTTTTCAGTTTTAGGGAAGGAAATGTGCAATACAAGAAAAGAAAATGTGATGGACTTTAGTGAGAGACTGGATCTTTGCTATACTAGTGTGCAAACCTGGTGCTTTAAAGATTGGCAATGTCTTTGTTTTACTCTTTCTCTCTTTCTGTGATTTGTAGCATACATGGAAGATCTCACAAGATATGTTGAACAAAGCAGAAGACTTATTATCGTGCTAACTCCAGACTATATTCTCAGACGGGGATGGAGTATTTTTGAACTGGAAAGCAGACTCCATAACATGCTAGTCAGTGGAGAAATCAAAGTGATTTTGATTGAGTGTACAGAATTAAAAGGGAAAGTGAATTGCCAGGAAGTGGAATCACTAAAGCGCAGCATCAAACTTCTGTCCCTGATCAAGTGGAAGGGACCCAAAAGCAGCAAATTAAATTCTAAGTTTTGGAAGCACTTAGTATATGAAATGCCCATCAAGAAAAAAGAAATGCTCTCTCGGTGCCAAGTTCTAGACTCCGCAGAACAAGGACTTTTTGGAGAACTCCAGCCTATACCCTCCATTGCCATGACCACTACTTCAGCTACTCTGGTGTCATCTCAAGCTGATCTCCCTGAATTCCACCATTCAGATTCAATGCAAATGAGGCACTGTTGCAGAGGTTATAAACATGAGATACCAACCACGACCTTGCCAGTACCTTCTTTAGGCAACCACCATACTTATTGTAACCTGCCTCTGACGCTACTCAACGGACAGCTACCCCTTAATAACACCCTGAAAGATACCCAGGAATTTCATAGGAACAATTCTTTGCTGCCTTTATCCTCCAAAGAGCTTAGCTTTACCAGTGATATTTGGTAGTGAAAAATAGGAATTCCTCTGAACAGCTAGATCAGCATAGAGAATTTCTGCTATACCAAGCATAAAGTACACCTAATAACGTTGAGGTGTTAAAAAAGTGTTTGAAGAAAAAGGTACAAAAATGGCTTTTATACTTAAATATTTTTGTTTACATTTCCAGAATAGTGGGGGGAAAGAAGGACCTGCTTTTGTAGTATGGCGCCTTGTTCTAATGTACAGTTTTGATTTCTTTCTGAAAACAAAATTTTAAAATCCTGTTGTCTTAGAGTAGGTTTTATGATAGCACATGGACTGCATGCTTAGTAGGTGAGCTGTCTTGCCCATATTTAAAAAGATTTCAGTATTCACATGGTATTTGAAATAAAGAAAATTTAAAGATTTTTAATTGAATTTGAAAATTCTCCACCAAGTTTAAGGGGAAAAATAACTTCTATAGAGTTCTGAAAATTCAGGAATTATCAAGAAAGAAATGTTGATGCACTCCAGTTGGAAGATTGTTTGTAGAGGAAGATCAGTTGAGAAAAAATGTGATTGAAATGTTTAAAACTTCTTCAACATAATGGACACTTTCTATAGACTAAATCAACAGCTCATAATAACAGCTTTTAGTTTTATTAGGGAACACATCTTCTGTAGGCAAATTGGTAGATAGGTAAACAATGTGCATTTAAGCAAATGAATAGACAGGCTGTGTGTTCTTTTAGGATGATTTTGAACAGTCCTCGTGGCTTTCTAATTCCAAAAGTTTTACAACTTTGAAAACACATTTTGAAGTACACATTTCATTATTTGCTAACAAATTCACATTTGGATTTTTTCCTTGACCTGCTGTAAGTATTATATGAAGATGTGGACATCTTCCTGCTTTTTTTCAACATCGTTGACGTTTGAATTTAAATACATATTGACTGCAAGTGTCAGCAATTGAAAAGAAGTACTGCAACAATATTCGCAGATGAAGTGCTAAATGATTTATGTTTACTAGTGGTAGAGCAGCAATTGCACAGTTTCTCACTGGCAATGTAGTTATAAAACAGACTATTCTGTATGTATAATATTTGGCCATCTGTGCAAGACTCCTGCACAAGTATGTCTACTCCTGGTGCTTTGAAGAGTATATTTGATAGGCTAAACTTCTCCATCCTCACATAGTGACTGTGACTGTACCATGCCAGAAAATCCCTGTAAATAATCTAAGTATTGCCTATTTGCTGTAAGGAATGTGCTCCTATTCTAGTATTATGGATTACTACTTTATGTTCTTTCCAATTAATCAAATTAGATGTGCTCTCCACCTAGATGCCTGTGAGGGTCATTTGTTAATCAAGGTCAATTTTGGCATTTTGCAATAGTTCTTAAATCATGTTCTTGGACAAACATAAAACAAGGACAAATGTACACAATGTGTAAAAATTAATAATTTGCCCACCCCTTGTAATTGTGAATCCCAAATGTATAAGAGAACACCAGATAATGCTTTATTTCTTTCAGTATTTTTTCATTATTGAATTTCTGTGATCCACGAGTTTTGTTCAAATTACTTGTTTCTCTGTTGCTTTTCTGTATCCAGCCATTCAGAAAATGCATTCTGCACCTACAGTGGGTGAAAGCTTAGCAGTGATACATGTTCATTTCACAGCTGGACAATTAGTTGCTCTTTTGAAAAACCCTGTTCAACACATGTCTGTGTTTTATAGATGTACTTTTTCCACTGAGAAAGGTAATTTTGTTCTGTAAAATCTATAAGTCTTTCAAAATGAAAATTTATCAATTCTGAACTGTTTCCAAGTGTTATAAAGTTGTATTTACTCTGGTTGTTCTTTAATGCTATGTGTATTTACTAAGTTAAAAATCTGCATGAACTCATATACTCGTGTAATATAAGTTTAAGTTACCAACTGTATTTTTTATTATATTATTTTTCACAGAAATCTAGATTAATTCAAATATAATGTTTGGTGGTATTTTTAAATTGATAGTTCTGTACTGAGCATGTAAGTTCTGAAAATATAACATGAGTCTCTCTGCTTCCTCTATTTACAATGATTAAATGTGGGTAGCAATTTGAGTTGGCTGGCCACAATGTGTCCTTTCACTACTAGTAGGTACTCAAAAACAGAGCATTCACACTTGTGCTGGGGAACTTGACAAGAAACCTTTTCTACAATTTTCAGGAACCAATGTGTACACTATCTATAAAAATTTATTTCTAGATGGCAATTCAAAATTTAATTTTCATCTCAGATTTCTAAAATATATAGCCCATAAGGGTATAATAGGTATTTAGTCTAGAACATGAAGTATTTTCCTAGTTGCATTCACAGAGGGAAAAATATTTCTTCTCAATTTTTCACTGAAATTGATTTTGGAAATCTAGAAAAACACTGGTACAACTAGTTATCATATATTGATAACAAATTTATTGTTATATTATTGTATGCAAGAATGTATACTTTTTAAGACAGATTATTTTAAGGTGAAACATTCAGAAAATATAAGAAATGTACAAAACCACAAACAGGAAATTAAAATTGCATGAGAACAAACAATGCTCAAGGATATGGACAATGTGTACATGGGTTTAATTAGACAAAACATGAAATATGGTGGGATTGATAATCTATGTATTCCAATATAACTATGGAAACTCTAAAAAGTGGCTGGATGGTACCTGAAAAGAAGATGTCTGTCCTCACTGCCTCTAAGCTTTAATTGAATTAGGTCCAAATCTGGTCCGCTTTCAATCACTCACTCAAAAATACAAGTACAAAGAGAGTTGCAGGTTTCTGGTAAGGCTTGAACCAAAAATAGTATCATGTGAGAGGTTGATATTTTGTCTGAGGATTGATGGTTAACATGGTAGGGCTTTGGAGGAAATGGTGAAATCAGAGGGTGAACCAGAGTTCAGTTATGAAAGAGAAGTTTATAGAGGTGTCCAAGAGGACATGGGAATCAGTAGTATCCTGCGGATAACTTCCACAACAGGTTTGGAGAATAGTAAGTGTGAAAAGGAAAAAAAATTCTTGCAGGAAAGAGAAGGAGCGTCTTTGACCCATGTAGTTTTTGAAGGGCTTACAAGAGTAAGAAACCACTGCTATAAAGCATTTACTGCCATTTGACATTTTGTTTTTAAATAAATTGGTTGGTTTTTACAAAGTATTTTCTAGAAAATTGAGTAATGGCCAAGGGAAATATCCAGAAAATTACACATATAAATCTTTACACTCCTGATATTCATTTCCCAAGTTGAGGTAGTCTGCTGATAAAACCAGACTCAAGACAGAAAATAGTTCCATAGTGACCAGTTAAGTTTGAATATTTGCAATTGTTGTTGCTCTTTTCTAGGACAGAATTTGATGTTGAAAATTGTCTGGCTCCAATTTCTCTATTACTCATGCATTTTTGTTCTACTATGTCTGATAGAGATCACAGTGCTGAGCATTAAGGCTTTCTGATGAATGTATGGAGTAGTTTGATAAACAATAATCATTCACTTCAAACTCTTACATCAAACTTGTCTTGGTTTAGAACTGGAATCAGCCACAAGAAATGTACGCTTATTTGGCAGTCCATTTAATTACTGTGCGATCAGAACTTGTAAAGTCACCTACACTCATATAACTTGTCTTTCCAAATGCTCACTGCTGTTTGCTCAACATTTTCTCCAAATGGTATTAAAGTAAATCATGAGTATTTATTGAGTGCCCACTGTGTACTGACCACTGCATAAAGTATAATAGAAATCATTTTAAAAAATTGAAGTCCCTGTGCTCAAGTAGTGTACACATCATGTACATGAAGAAAGGTGGGTATTTATAAAACACATTTAAGTATAGGAAATTAATATTGTACATGCAGAGCAGATAAGTGAGGTGGGGCAATTCAGTGCTGACTGTGGCAAGATAAAAGTTTGGAATAGATCCAAGAGTGGTGAAGAATAGGAATTTCTCAAGTGCAGAGAATAGCACATGGGAAGATTCAACAAAGAATAAGTCAGTCTTATTTAGCTGATAGTGAGCACATTTGGTTGGCAAGAGCAGACTCTGTGTGAGAACATAATAAGAAATAAGAGCCAGGTGCAGTGGTTCATACCTGAAATCCCAACACTTTGGGAGGCTGAGGCAGGTGGATCACTTGAGTCCAGGAGTTTGAGAACAGCCTGGGCAACATGACAAAACCCTGTCTCCACCAAAAAAATACAAAAATTAGCTGAGAGTGGTAGTGCATGCTTGTAGTCTCAGCTACCCAGGAAGCAGAAGTGGGAGAATTACTTGAGGTTGGGAGGCAGAGGTTACAGTGAGCTGAGACCATGCCACTGCACTGCAGCCTGTGCAACAGAGCAAGACCTTGTCGAGAGAGAGAGAGAGAGAACTAAGGCTGAGAAATGTGGTGGAGCATTCATCTGATAGCAGATGCAGGAAAAAGTAGGTAAGGAGAGATAATGGAGGCAGGGAGACCAGCTAAGATGCTGTTATCATAGTTCAGGTGTGAGGTGAGAAATGATGGAGCTAGGGTGGTGACCTGGATACTCAGAAAAAGGCAGATCTGAGGAGGGAGAGAAATCGGCAGGATGTGGGATTTGATGAACATACATAGTCTCTATTACTAAGATGCTTAGCAATTGTTTTCCAGAACACCAGAAGATGAAACACAATTTAGGCAGGAAAGTTGTAGGAAAGAGGGCCTTTACTTTTTTTTTTTTTTTGAAATGAAGTCTCGCTCTGTGGACCAGGCTGGAGTGCAGTGGCGTGATCTCGGCTCACTGCAACCTCCACCTCCCAGGTTCAAGTGATTCTCCTGCCTCGGCCTCCTGAGTAGCTGGGATTACAGGCGTGTGCCACAACGCTTGGCTAATTTTTGTATTTTTAGTAGAGACGGGGTTTCACCATGTTGGTGAGGCTGCTCTCGAACTCTTGACCTCGTGATCCACTGGCCTCGGACTCCCAAAGTGCTGGGATTACAGGCCTGAGCCACCGCACACCACTTTCTGAAATAGAAAATGCCAGAATAGATGAAGAGTTGCTGAAGATCAGTGGTCTCTTCTTACTCCTTATTATAGTCCAAGCATCCATAGTAGTCCTGGTCACAGAGTAGGTGCTCACATCTCATTTGTGAATTAAATGGACAAGTGGATTTGGGAGCACTGTGAAGTTTAAATTCCTACAATCCTTAAAAAATATGAGAGTTTATTTTTTCCATTTACTTCTTTCAGCAAGCAACTTTTTTATTGTTTACAACGTTTTAAAAAGAAAATAGTGTATTAGATTATCTATCTACATCCTGTCTAGGTCTAGCATTTTAGGATCTAAGTCAATTTGTGGTTGCAGATAAAAGTTTCCTAAGCATTCTGCCAGTCACACAAATCATTCTTCTTCAGAGCATTTATACAATTTAGTTCTGTGAGGCCACCCAACATAGTTCATTGCTCCTAACCACATAGTCATTTTTCCTAAATACATACTTTATATGCTGACATTGCCAATAAAAACATTGCCTCTCTTTTTTTGTTTTTTGCAAAAGGTAATTTACGCCTATAATTATCATATTGGGTCAAAGAATAGGGATTAGATTAACCTACTTTACTGGGCACAGTAGCAATTCCACCAATGAATTCAGGATGCAGAGATATCTGAGTTTCTGTCCTCCTCTGACACATTTTCTAAGCATCCAATAGCTTGACAGTCCTTAACTTTCTTGATAGAGTAGCAAAATACCAGAAAATATTAAAATGTCATCTGTTTGTATGTGGGGCAAATTATTTAGCCTTTCTGTGCCTCCATTTCTTCATTTGTAAAATGCAGATACCAATAATACACAGGAGTGTGAACATTGTAAGTTAATGTATGCAAAGTGCTTAGAACAGTGTTGGCACAGAGTAAGAGCTATGTAAGAATTATTGTTACAATTATTATTTCACACAAAATGTCACTGCTGACCTACTGTCCACAGGAAATACATTTTATTTTACTTTCCAAGTGATAGAGATTGGTTACTAGGTTTCTTGCGTGACTGCCTGTATGACCAAGGACACTCATTTTCCAAGACAGCTGGCTGAGGTTAGAGGTGCATTTTGTGGCCATGGAACAGATCACAGCTAACTGGCCTGATTCAAGGAGCAAACCTACAGTAACTTTGACCTCATTAGTAATGTATTCTGAGCTAGACAAAAACCAGGACTCTCAGAACATGGATTATTCAGATTTGTTGTCCATGTTAATCAAAGTCCCCAGATGATTGCTTGATACTCTGCTTCACTTTAGCTAAGTTTACATAAGACCAAAACATCTGGATGAGAAGTGAAAAAATACAGATGTTTAAGCCACTGATGGGAAACATCCAGATGTCTCAAATTTGGATTTGTCATTTTGTTCTTTGTTTTAAAGGAAAGAGAAGCCAAAAAAAAAAAAAATCACCATAGTTTGTCTTTTTCCTTAACCTGGGTAAAATCAAACTGGTTTCTTGTTATAGAAGTTTAAAATGCTTACAAGTTGATTAGGAAGCTTTTTGATAATATCGCTAGATAAGCTGCATTTCAGGAGGAGTTTTTTTTCTTTTTCTTTTTCTTTTTTTTAACTTAAGCATCTGATCTATGAGTAGTGCTTGTGAGAGGCGATTGCTTTTAGAGTGAGACAGTATCTTGGAAGAGTTGATCACAATGAATTCTCCAGGAAAGTATGGCTGGGATGATACCAACAGTAAAAGAAAATTTGCTAAAGAAGTTCCTCAGAAATATTGCTTATTTCCTAAGAGGATATGACCTCAATTAAATGTGTTAGGAGTTAAATCTGAAATAATACATGTAAATCTCTTTTTATGTTTATGAAATACTTGCTATCTGCAAACCAACAGAGAGAGTTAACTATAGGAATACGCAAAATTGGTAGCCTTTTATGGAGCACATTTTGAAGGAAATCAAAATTTATGAGGAAGGCAGTCCCCAAAATGCCTATCACCGGTGTCCTAAAATCATATTAACTAGGTTAAATCATGATGTCCC